TGAATAAATGAAAATTAAATAATGATTTCTTATATTTACGCGAACACTACACATTTTTCAAGCTCAAGCTCGGCGGCCAGATGTTTTCTGTCACAGATCCGTCGTGCTCCAGTAGACATCTGGCCGCCGAGCTTCAGCACGTCGAGCAAGTACTGCAAGACAACAAGCTTCGGGTCCCGCGCCTACGTCACAGTGACCGAGTGAAGCCAGCCACAGTCGAGCGTGTGCCTGCTGTACTACCCTATGTCAGAGGAGTCACAGACAAGGTTGGCTACATCTTGAAGCGAGCTTCCATTAAAACATACTTCAAGCCGCTGAAGAAGATTGGTCAATTTTTACCATCCGTCAAGTGTCATATCCCTCTACAAGATGCAGGAGTGTACAAGCTGGATTGTGAATGTGGTCTCTCGTACATAGGACAAACAAAAAGATCTATTAAAACCCGCGTTAAAGAACATATAGCTGACGTGAAGCACCGACGTATCGGGAAGTCTGCAGTTTGTGAACATGTTCAAGATCGTCCCCGCCATTACATTAGATTTGATAGACCACAAATCCTCGCAAAAGAACACCGATTCCTCCCAAGGATGATTCGAGAGGCTATTGAAATTAAAAAACATCCTAATTTCAATAGAGAAGATGGATGGGTGTGGGTGCTGCCATCTGCTTGGGATCCCATAATTAATAAAATCAAATCCAAACCCAAGTATACCACTGCTAGACTTCAAGATACTGTAAGCTCATTCTGCGTAAATCGGACCAAAAATTAATATTAAAAAACTGAAGGTAGCCGGGCTAACTATGACAGCAGGACGTCAAACACCTCAGTCCCCCGTGACCACGGGTGCTGGAAAGCACCCGAAACGTCGGGAATATAAAAATAGGTTAATATACGCGATAAAATCCGTAAAATTAGTTTTATTTAAAAATGAAAATTAAATATTTTGTAGAACCGACTTCAATAATATATATTATTAAGAATAACTCAAAAAATATTGGTCAGGCCTTGATCAAATTTATATGAGACCTAATGAGAAGCACCAACTTTCAAATAAAAAAAAGAATGGTCTAAATCGGTTCACTCAGAAGAAAGTTATGAGCTAACACATAAAAAAAACATAAAGTCGAATTGAGTACCTCCTATTTTGAAGTCGGTACAAAAATGTGTTGTTTGCTACCAAGATGTTCCTTGCTGGTTCTTCCTAAGACAAAGGTATTTTCTGAAGCCGAAGTAGAGAAATAAAAGATGATCTAGTGCATGCTATACACAGAGTACACCTGTCCTTAAGATTAATCCAGTCCTTAAGGTTTAAAGTTATTTGTTTTAGTAACTATACCAAATTTCGATATTCTACGTAAACACCTCAGGATAAAATCTCTGTGACAGACTTTCTGACTGATTTGCTGTATTTAAAACGCACGGAACACAAAAATGAGGGCATCTACAACTTTTTCTACCGCCACTTAAACTGACGTGAAATAATTAACCGATTTAATGGAGGGGAAGTTGAATTGTTAGAAAAATATAAAGGTTAATGTTGTAGGTATCTTGAAAATAAATTATAATATTTGCATGGAGGTATATAATAAAGACAGTCTTGTCTCAACTCCCGTGTTTGATTGCCGCATCCAAACAATACAAAATAAACATGGCGCAGTCGGTACACAGATTTTACAAATAATATAATATATAAGTACTTTCCATTGAATTGGATGAACTGTGAAAGTGAGAGTGAATTTTAGGAAGAAGTTGAAGATTCTAACGTAACTGCAATTGAATCAATCGTCCGAACAATGGAATCTGTATTTAACAGTGGTAGAGCCACGCGGCAGCTTTTGCTGTCGCACGGATGGGCCGGCTCGAACCGGGGTGGTACCACGACCTCACAGAAAACCAGCGTGAAGTAGAGGTTTACCTCTGCGTTTCGCTTGGTGAGTGCAGGTGGCCGGAGGCCCTTTTTACTGGAAATGAGGCATTCCATCTTAGTCCTCACGGGTGACAACGCATCTACATTTTGATTTGTAATAGAGGATAGATGTAGATGTCTATGGGCCGCAGCAACCACTTACCATCAGGTGGACTGTGTGCTCGTTTGTCATCCTTATCCTATAAAAAAAAAAAAAAAAAAAAAAAAACCACCGCCACCTTTTATTTTCGAAAATAATTTAGTAAATGTGACTTCGGGAAATTTATGCAAAGAATGGGAAAAATGGAAAAAAGCATTCTTGATATATTACGAGGCATGTGAACTAAAAAAAAAGGATGAAAAAGTACAAATTAACATTTTATTACATATTATCGGAAACAAATGTCAGGAAGTGTACGAACAACTATTATTGGAAAATGATAAAAAGGAATTTAAATCGATTAATGAAGTATTTTTAAAATTTGATACATTTTTTCTTCCACAAAAGAATGTGACGATGACACGACACATATTTTTCACTCGTGATCAACGGGAGATGGAGACAACCGAGCAATATGTTTTCGAATTAAACAAGATGGCGGCAAGATGCGAATTTAAAGATTTATGTCAAGATTTGGTACGAGATAGACTCATATGTGGTATACGAGATGGATGTATGACAGAAAGGCTGTTAAGGAAGCCTGACTTAACGTTAAAGAAAGCAGTGGAAATTTGCAATGTAGCCGAAATGTCGCGAGCCCAGGCCATCAATATAAAGTCAGAGAAGTCGGACCACCACGTGCATGAAATAAAACGTAATTCCGAGCAAGATGAACGTGACGCAGAAATTAATTGGGTGAACCGTCAACGTGTTACGCCCCTGCACCACCAGCGCCCGCAGCGAGCGCGTGGCGCCGGCAGCGGAGGTGTGCGGATGCCGCGATCCTCTAAGTCCTCAACCCACCCTCGGGATGAAGGTGGGCACGCGCAAGTGCATCGTCCCGTCCCGTCCAGGTACGATCGCAGTTGTTGGAACTGCGGTTAGTTACACGAGAAATACAGTTGTCCCGCCTATGGTCAGCAGTGCCGTAAATGTCATCGCATGAATCATTATTCGCGGATTTGCAGAGTTTATGAAGTAAAGGAGGACTCCACCGATCAAGTAAATATCAATTACGGTAAGGACTGGTTGGTGAAGTTAAAGATAAATAATAATTTTCTAATGTTCAAGCTGGATACTGGGGCCGATGTGAACGTTTTGTCTAAGAAGTATATTCAAAAAATTAATATTACTGAATCAGAGTTAGCATGTACCTCAATAAAATTACAAGGTTATTCAGACAGTAATATTGAAGTTATTGGTAAATGTCACTTAAAAGTTAATTATAAAAATGATGTTTACATATTAAAATTCATTGTTGTTGATGTAGACTCACCTCCTATTTTAGGCTGAACCTCGTGTGAGGAATTAAAGTTACTAAAGAGAGTTTTTTCTATGGGATGTTTGCCAGGAAATTACAAAATTCAGGTGAGCATGATATTAAACCCGTAATACATGCTCCGAGAAAACTACCGCTAGCCCTTAAAGACAAAATTAAAAATAAATTAATGGAAATGCAAAAAGAGGGCATCATTGCAAAAGTAGAGGGACCCACCGACTGGGTCAACAGTATGACTGTTGTTAAGAAGCCTAATGGAGACCTTCGAATCTGTCTTGATCCTAGGGACCTTAATATGGCAATTAGGCGCGAACATTATGAGCTTCCTACTCTGCAAGAAATAACTGCCAATTTATCGGGGGCAAAATATTTTAGTACTCTCGATGCCAAGCAAGGGTTTTGGCAATTAAAGCTTCATGAGTCTAGTACAGACCTTTGTACATTCAGTACAGTATTTGGTCTTGCGCATGCCATACGGCATATCGTCGGCATCAGAAATTTTCCACAAAAAATTGTATGAGCATTTTGATGATATCGAAGGAGTTATTTTATTTGTAGACGATTTATTAATTTATGCAAATTCTAAAAAACACACGATGAAAGACTTCGGTCGGTTTTACCTGGTGTCGGGAAATTAATATTAAATTAAATTTAAAAAAATGTAAAATTGGGTTAACGGAACTCACATATTTGGGCCATAAAATAACAAAGGATGGGACATATCCGGATGATTCGCACATACTAGGTACTAGGTAAGAAATATGCCCAAACCAACCACGGTAAAAGACGTCGAACGGTTCTTAGGTTTAGTTACGTATGTGAGTAATTTCATACCGAATTTTTCGGAAAAAACGTCTGTGTTGCGTGAACTGTTAAAGAAAGAAGTAGCATGGCATTGAGATAGTAATCACGATCAATGTTTTAAAGAAATAAAGGAAAGTCTAAGTAAACCTCCGCTTTTAAAATATTATAGCTTACAGAAACCAGTAAAAATTTCAGTGGATGCAAGTAAAAATGGATTGGGAGCCTGTTTGATGCAAGACGAGTTACCGGTGTGTTATGCTTCTAAATCACTAACTAAAACGGAGCAGTCATACGCGCAAATTGAAAAAGAATTGTACGCATGTGTTTTTGCTTGTGAAAAGTTTTACACGTATATTTACGGCCGCACGGACGTTACTATAGAAACAGACCATAAACCGTTAGTCAGTATTATTAATAAACCGTTAGCAAGCGCTCCTGCAAGGTTGCAACGAATGCTTTTACGCCTCCAGCCGTATGAATTCAAGTTGGTTTATAAGCCGGGTCGCTATCTTTACGTCGCAGACGCACTGTCGAGGGCAGTCGCACCGGACAAGCATGAGTCGACACTGCCACGCGATCATCTCGACGCGCAAGCGCAGGTGTGCGTGCTCACCGCGAGCAATCCGTTTCGTTGACGGACTCGCACTTCTTATCTATACAGAAATGTACCCAGGAAGATATAGAAATGCAAGAACTTATTAAAATAATAAAACGAGGTTGGCACTGTCATAAAAGTAAAATAAAAGACATAATAAAGCCCTTTTGGGACAGTAGAGATGAATTATCAGTTAACTTTGGTATAGTATGGAGGGGTAGCAGGGTAATAATACCTAAATGCATGAGATACGAAATGATTAAAAAGATTCATTTGGGCCATCTAGGGATTGAAAAATGTAAACTCAGAGCTCGAGAAATTATATACTGGCCTAATATGAATACTCAACTTGAAGATTATCTGTCACATTGTCAAGCTTGTCTAACTTATAAAAACCAGAACTGTAAAGAACCGTTAATGCAACATGAAGTACCAAATAGGGCATGGTCTAAAGTAGGAATAGACGTTTTTCACTTCGGAACAAAATCGTTTGTCCTCATAATAGACTACTATAGTAAATTTGTAGAATTAATAAAAATTAATTGCTTAAAGTCAGAATTAATTGTTAAAAAAATTAAACAAGTTTTTAGTAGACACGGTATACCCGAAATAGTTATGACCGATAATGGCCCTGAGTTTGCATCTAACACTTTTCGTGAATTCTCACATGATTGGAAATTCCAGCATGTGACGTCATCGCCGAGATATCCTCAATCTAACGGTCAGGTCGAGCGTGCCATACAAACAATTAAAAATATGATGAGAAAAACGGCTTATGATCAGGCAGAGTTCCCATTAGCGCTCCTTGAATATCTAAATACACCAATCAGTAAGGAGCTCGCTAGTCCAGCGGAGTTGTTATATAATAGAAAACTCCGCAGTATAGTTCCGTGTTCTCCAAATTTATTGTTACCAAAAATTAATACGGACGTAATAAATAAATTAAAACGCCGTCAACAAAAGCAAAAAATGTATTACGATAAGGTGCTAGAAAATTAAAAACACTAATAATTGGACAAAATGTTAAAGTTCGAATTAACAAAACATGGGTACCAGGTTTCATTAAAAGTATTGTAGGTCCTAGGTCATATTTAATAAGCATGGCAACGGGTGGTGTATTAAAACGAAATAGGAAGCATATCATAGTTGATTCGAACCAAAGAATCGATGAATCATCTAATCTACGCACACAGTACGATGATATCGCTGTAAACAATAACAAAACCTCCGCGCACGCGCCCTCCCCGCACGGCTCCAGTACTCAGCTGCGAGCGCCTCACTTGCAACAATCTGATAGATCAACTGTTTTCACTAACTGTTTTTATCGTACACTTTCCGGCAGGGAAGTGAGACCTCCTGATCGATGGGGCTTCTCCGCACCACAGAAATGACAGCTATGTGAGGCAAAAAACTTTATTTTATTTTATTTAATTATTGGATTGATTTTAATTATTAATTACATATATAAATTATTTTTTATCAATAACAATAAGTCGAAAGCAACAAGTTAATTGGATTTTGTTTTTAATAAATACGAGGGTGGATTGAAAAGTACTCGGCCTAACACAGATCCATTCAATTCTAAAAATCAAATCTACTCACATTATTTAGTTCAGTTCAGACTAGTTCATTGTGTGAAGTTCGAAACGTGTGCGATAATTAGTTGTGATTTTATAAATTTATTAACAAAGTAATCGGACATAATTTCCGCGAATGGAGCAAATCGAGCAGCGTGCCGTCATTAAGTACCTCCATAAGAAGGGGCTATCATCAAAAGCCATCCATGATGACATGGTCAGTACATTAGGCGATTGCGCTCTGTCATATTCATCCGTCAAAAAATGGATAGCAGAATTTAAGCGTGGTAGAGAGAGTGTGAAAGATGAACCCCGCTCTGGAAGGCCTTCGACGTCAACTACTGACGAAAATATTAAAAAAGTACTTGATTTAACAATGGGAGACCGCAGATTAAAAATTATGGTCGGTACACACGACAACGATTTATCGTTGCAAACTGACTGCGCAGACCATTTGTGCAGTTTTATCGTACGTGTGTACAGAAATCGACGCAGATTTTTTGGTTTGTGCAAGCCATCGGAGCAAGGTTTAAAATCTATTCGATAAATCGTTGTCGATCGCGTTTGCACAGTTTCATCGTAGTGTGTGTACGGAAGTCGTACCAACCGTCAGTTCGTTCGCATGGCTTGGTGTAGGGGGACGCGTCCGCGCACATTAAAATATGTCGGAAGATTGTAGCGGAGTTCGTGAGTTATTGGAAGAGTTTATCCAGTGCTATAAAATGAAGTTTGTTTGTGGAATAAGAAAAGTAAAGATTATCACGACCGCAACAAGAAAAATGCTGCGTACGATAGGCTAATTATTAAGTACAAACCTATTGATCCTAATGTTAATAGGGAGATGGTAGTAAAGAAAATAAATAACCTGCGGACTTCTTACAAGAAGGAACTCAACAAAACCAAAAAGTCCTTAAAAGCCGGAGTCGGAACCGATGAAGTCTATGTTTCTCGTTTGTGGTACTTCGACTTAATGAATTTTTTATATGATGAAGAAATACTAGTAGAACTTTGTACAAAGCATCACAAGTTTCAGGAATAATTTGACTGAGAGCCTGTTTTGATATTAACGTAGAAAACTTCATACATTCGTACGAGCGACCTGTAGCTAAAAACCTCAGAGTTGCAGACAATCTTTCATGAGAACTTATTGCTTCTCTCATCACGGTATTGCTTTTTTGTATTAGCGGTGTAACTTAAAACAGGAGATGTAAGTAAGTCTCTTCATTCATCCTCAAATAATTGTGCCAGTCTTTTGGGGAAAATTTCAACTCGTTTAATAAATTTATATGAGAGTATGACTTTCTTTTAAGAAACCAATCCGTACACCACACTCTACGTGATTTTCTTTTCTTTTTGCACAAAACAAGCCAGGCTAGCGCAAGCGCTTCATCGTCTTCCATCACGAATGACGTGTTTTTCTTCTGAGTTTCTGCCGAGAACTGACGATCGACACAGATATAGTAGACGTGTGGACGCACTACGGACGTTCGATAAACTGCGCAAACGAACTGTGCAGTTCGTTTGCGCAGTTTTATCGTTGCCGTGTATACCGGGCTTTAGAGAGATAGCCGTGATTATAGGCATCTCTTATGAACGAACTCAAAACATCATTGTCAACGAGTTGGGTTTCCACAAGGTGTCTGCGAGGTGGGTTCCGCGACTGCTTTCAGTTGAACAAAAAAGGACGCGATTGACTATTTCACGCGACTGTTTGGAGTTATTTGAAGCCGATGCAGATGATTTTTTGAATCGTTTTGTTACTATGGACGAAACATGGGTTCATTACTGTACACCGGAAACAAAACAACAATCAAAACAGTGGAGAAGACCTGGTTCACCACCCCCTAAAAAGGCTAAGTCGATTTTGTCGGCAAATAAGGTGATGGCTTCAGTAGTCTGGGACTCGAAAGGTGTGATTATGATTGATTATCTTGAAAGGGGTCAGAATATAAACTCTGATTACTACTGCACCTTACTACGTCGTTTACGAGAGGAAATAAAAGAAAAACGTCGAGGAATGCTCAGAAGAAAAGTCCTGTTTCATCAAGATAACGCCCGTGTTCACACGTCAGTACAGTCAATGGCTGAAATTCACAACTGTGGCTTTGAACTGTTACCGCATCCGCCGTATTCACCTGATCTGGCACCATCAGACTTCTTTCTGTTCCCTAACCTAAAAAAGCACTTGGGAGGTCAAAGATTTTCGACAAACGACGAGGTCAAAGCAGCTGTAGACGCATATTTTGACTCTAAAGAAGAATCATTTTTTTTCAACGGTCTAAATGCTTGGAAGGGGAGGTGGCAAAAGTGTATTGAACTTGATGGTGATTATGTAGAAAAATAAAAATATAACTGATTTAGTATTTGTTTATTTTCTTGGTTAGGCCGAGTACTTTTCAATCCACCCTCGTATTATATAAATTACAGATTGATAAATTATGTTAATATGATCAAGTTACACGTTATAATTATAGGAATAAATTCATGTATTATTATAAATCAAATTGTTAATTTTCATACTTTTAATTATGAAATGCTTTTATTATATTAAGATTATTAATTGTGGTTTTATGAAAGATTAGTATTAAACCTCGACCCTTTATAATTTCTTAAGAAGGGGATTGTAGGTATCTTGAAAATAAATTATAATATTTGCATGGAGGTATATAATAAAGACAGTCTTGTCTCGTCAACTCCCGTGTTTGATTGCCGCATCCAAACAATACAAAATAAACAAATGTTTCTCTCTGAAATATCAGTTATATTTCAGATAGTGACCAAACGGATATTCCTGAAAGTGAGAGTAAAAATTATGCAAAAAAATTAATGAGAAATCACTCAGGCATTATTTTTTATTTAAGTACATACACTAGAAACTGGATTTTTTTTAAATTTAAAACGCAACTTTTCATTTATGTAACAAATAGTTTCACCTAGAACTAGCGACATCTGGTGAGCGGAAAGTTACTAGCACTCATTGACTTTATTATTATTATTTTGTAATAATTTAAAATCAATACAATTAATAATTTAAATTTTGACACGTAGTTTCGTAGTATGAGATACCATAAAACCATATCAGCCCATGAGAGTTGTAAGCTCGTAAGAGCCGACATAGTGAAACAGGAGACGGGCAGCACCATCTCAAAAAATTAAAACCCATGAAATCATAGTAAATTTTCGTTAACTATTTATTCTGTGGTAAATTCCACACCGTGTAGTGGCGGTCAAGAATATCCACTACCCCATATCCTCCCGTGGGTGTCGTAAAAGGCGACAAAGGGAAACAGGCAAGAGATGGGCAGCAGCATCTTCCTGATAATAGCCAAAATTACAATAAAAAAACTGCGGTTGCCAACCCGCTCGCCAAGCGTGGCAACTATGGCAAATACCCCCCAATGAATAAAGCAACAAACAGACGGCCCCCAGTCCCCGGCGGCCCCGCTATTCCTGGCTACGGTGGCGACCATGGTAACGGCGGGGCAGGAGGTGCTAAGAATCTCCGGTGGAGGTTCGGTTGCCACCTTAGACGACTCGACCTGGCAACGTACAACGCACGCACCCTGAGGACTGACGAGAAGATCGTGGAGCTGGAAGAAGAGATAGACAAGTTGCGCTGGCATATTATAGGATTATCCGAAGTCCGAAGAGAGGGGGAGGACACGGTAATCCTCGAATCCGGCAACTTGCTCTATCACCGGAAGGGCGACCATCTGTCCCAAGGAGGTGTCGGATTTATCGTCCACAAGTCTCTCGTTAACAACGTTGTAAAGATCGGGAGTGTGTCGACGAGGGTTGCGTACCTTATACTCAGAATCACCAAACGGTATTCGCTGAAGGTCATACAGGTTTACGCACCAACCTCGGCACACCCCGATGAGGAGGTGGAGGAAATGTATGAGGATATCCCTAGAGCCATGCATTCCTCCAAAACCCAATATACGGTGTTAATGGGAGACTTCAATGCAAAACTAGGCACAAGAGAGAACGGCGAGCTGAAGGTAGGGAAATTTGGAATAGGGCAAAGGAACCCAAGGGGCCAGCAGCTGGCCGACTTCATGGAGAAAGAGGGACTCTTTATGATGAACTCTTTCTTCCAGAAGCGGCTCCACAGGAAGTGGACCTGGTCGAGCCCCGACGGTTCGACAAAAAATGAGATTGACTTCATTATGACGACCAGACGACAACTGTTCAGTGATGTCTCCGTGATCGCGAGGGTGAAAACTGGTAGCGATCACCGAATGGTTAGAGGCACACTGAACCTAAACGTTAAGTTGGAGAGGTCTCGTCTAATGAAGTCAACGCTCCGTCCCCCTCGTGCTCTGTTCCAAATTCCCGAAACCTTTCAGCTCGAGTTATAAAACCGTTTTCAGTGCCTGGAAGACTGCAATGAAGTGGACGATATGAATGATAAGCTCGTGG